TGCCCGGCGGGCAGACGTAGCCCGCGGCGCAGCGCATGGCGTCGAGCATGCGGTACATGCCCATGTTTTCGCAGGCCCAGCCCGCGAGGCACTCGCGGCAGTTGTTGACGTCCGTCGCGCGTTCGAGCGGGTTGTACGTGCCTGTGGCAGGGGTTTGGAGCAAGTTTGCAGGACCCGAGAGACGCGGGCTGAGCTCGCCGGCGGGGCACGCGACGGGCTCCGCGACGCCCTGCTCGCAGTAGGCGCCCGCCGTGCAGTTGTAGCACTGCGACTGGCGGTGGAGCCCCGTGCGGTTGCCTGTGTGCGAATCGACCACTGGTTCGGGACGTCCCGACCAAACTTTGAAAATTCTCTAGCTCGGTCAATTCGAAGTCGATTCGGCTGATTTTTGGACGAATCGATTGCTCTCGTCGAGTTCTCGAAGCACAGCGGAAGTGCTTGTGTCGAACCTTTCGAATACGCGCACATTGAAGTCGAGTTGAAGATTTGACTTCCACCCCGTTCGGTTGCCAAAGGACCCCGCCGCGCAGGGCGTGCCCCACCAAGTCGCGGACCCGACGGGGCAGAAGTGGCCCGTGGGGCAGGGCTTGTCGACGTACGTCGACGAGTTCGTCGGGCAGTAGTAGCCCGGCGGGCAGGGCAGGCAGTCCGCGGCCGACGCCGCGCCGAAGTCCGGCTGGTACGTACCTGCGAAGAAAAAGGTTCGCGCGAGCGGTTCGTGGGAGCGGGGCCGCGCACCGGCGTCGCAGAGGGTGGGCTCGGCCGAGCTCTCGGGGCAGTAGCCGCCCCGGTCGCAGAGCTTGGCCGTCGCGAAGACCGTGCCCCCGTAGGCCTCGACGGCGATCGGGTCGACGACGTCGACGATCATTCCGTCGCAGTAGTAGCCCGGCGGGCACGGCGCGCAGGCGTGGTCCGCGGACCGGCCCGCCGTCGTGTTGCCCAGCGTCCCCGGCGGGCAGTACTCGACGACGGACGGCGGGTTGCACCACGTGCCCGCCGCGCACTCGGAGCCCGGCGGCGAAGGCGTCGACGACGCGGTTCGGGCAGCGGTAGCCGGGGTTGCAGTCGAGGCACTGCGTCAGGCCGCCGGGGCTGTAGAACCCCTCCGTGCAGACGACGACCGTCGCCGCGTCGGGGCAGGCGAAGCCCGGCGGGCAGACCGTGCAGTTCGTGGCATTCGTCAGCGAGTACGTGCCCAAATCGCACGGGTACTCGCCGGACGTCGGCGACGGACAATAGGAACCTCGAGGACACTTCAAGCAGTCCATCTCGCCGAGGGGCGAGTAGGTGCCCGCGTCGCAGGGATTCGTCGCCGCCGTGTCCGTTCCCGCGCAGGCGACGCCGTTGGGGCAGGCGACGCACGCGTCGCGGCCGCCCTCGGAGAAATAGCCCTCCGCGCACAGCTCCGCGTCCGTCGGCGGCGCCGCGCGGTCGGCGCACGCGTAGCCCGCCGGGCAGCTCGTGCAGTAGGCCTGGCCGCCCTCGCTGTAGGTGCCCAGCGTGCACGGGAGCTGGACCTCCTGGTCATAGAAGGGGCATTGAAACCCCGGCGCGCAGTCGACGCACTCGGAGCGGTCGAACGACGGCAGGCGGCCCTCGGCGCAGTAGCTGCAATTCTGCCAGCCGCCCGGCGAGTAGGTCGCGTAGCCGCAGGGCGCCGGCGACGCCGCCGGGTCGCCGCAGTGGTAGCCCGCGGGGCACCGGAGGCACCGCGTGTTGTTGCCGGGCGCGTACGTGCCGACGGGGCACCGCGTCGGGATCATCGACGGCTCGCCGAGGGGGCACTCGAAGCCTACAAAAAAAGAAATGTGACAGTTCCGCCGCAGCTATAAAAGCGCTCACCGGGCGGGCAGGGCGCGCAGGACGTCTGGTTCGCCGTCGGCCGCCAGCCCGGTTCGCAGAGCACGGGCGGCAGGCCGTCGCGGCAGACGTAGCCCCGCGCGCAGGACGTGCACGTCGCCCGGCCGCGGAAGGCGTAGGTGCCCGCGTCGCAGGCGACGGGCGGGTCCGCCGGGTCGAGGCATTTGAAGCCCGCGGGGCACGCGGAGCAGTTCGTCCCGCCGTAGGGCGCGTACGTGCCCGGCGCGCACGACTCGAGCGCCGCCGGGTCCTCGCAGCTGTGGCCCGGCGGGCAGAGCTCGCAGGCGAGGCTCACGCCCTTGGCGCTGAAGAAGCCCTCGGCGCAGCGCTGGGGGCCGACGCTCGCGTCGCCTAAAGCCGCGGCGGCGTCTCCCGACAGGCAGACCGGCGCGTCGAAAGCTCTCCGACACGACGCCGCAAAGGTCGTCGAACGCGCGCGGACGAGTAGGAACACACGGACCGGTTTCAAGAGACGCCGCAAGGGTCACCGCAGGAGAAGCCGGCGGGGCAGTCGTCGCAGAAGGAGCCGTCCTTGCTCGTCGTCAGGCCCTGGGCGCACGGCGCGCACGCGGTCGCGTTGCCCTCGGCGAAGGTGCCGTTCGCGCACGGCGCGGGCGCGGCGCCGGGCTCCGCGCAGGCGTGGCCCGCGGGGCACGGCGCGCACTCCGTCGCGCCCGCGGCGCTGTACTCGCCGGGCGCGCAGTCCGAACCTGCGCGCGGAAGGTCCCGTCGAGTCGCGCGCGCGCGCCGCGGCGCCCCTCGACCTCGAGCGGTCCGCGGGCCTCTCCGAGGAGCTCCTGGAAATAAAGACGCCGGGCGCGTCACAGCGTATCGAGCCGGCCGAGGCGCTCGTGCCGTTGGCGCAGAGCGCGGGGTCCTCCGCCGGGTCGTCGCAGGAGAAGCCGCCGGGGCACTCGTCGCAGCGCGGCGCGCCCGTGACGTTCCCGGTGTAGCGCCCCGTGGGGCACGCCGCGCAGTGCGTCGCGTTGCCCGGCGCCGCCGTCCCCGGCTCGCAGGGCGCGGGCGCGACGGCGACGTTCGTGCAGCTGTGGCCCAGCGGGCAGGAGACGCAGTACTGCCAGTTCGACAGCGAGAACGCGCCGTCGCCGCAGAGCGCGGGCGCCGCGCCGGAGCTCGGGCAGCTGTACCCGGCGGGGCACGCCGTGCAGTTCGTGAGGTTGCCGAGGGAGTAGGTGCCCGACGCGCAGGGCACGGCGTAGCCGCCCGACGGGCACGCGTGGCCCTTGGGGCAGCCCGAACAGGCGCCCATCGCCTCGAACTCCGCGACTTTGCCCGCCGGGCAGTCGCCGCAGTCCATGGCGAGCTCGAGGCTGTAGGTGCCCGCGGCGCAGGCGACGACGGACGCGCCGGAGCCGCAGGCGTAGCCCGCGGGGCAGGGCTCGCACGACGCCTACGATGAAAGAGAGTGACCGCGGTCTTCTCCGGACGCGTTTCGAAGGCGTAGAAACACGGGACGCCGGTCGCCCCACCGCGCCGTATTCTGCTGCGTAGTGGCCCGCCGGGCAGGCGTCGCAGCCGTCGCCGTTCGTCGCGCCCATGACGGCCTTGTAGGTGCCCGGCGCGCAGAGCTCGGGCGCGTCGCAGCCGCCGGCGCACGTCGCGCCCCGCGGGCAGTCGAGGCAGCGGCGCGTGCCGTTGCACGTCGACGAGTAGGCGCCGGCGTCGCAGTCCCGCGCGCAGTAGTCGTCGTCGAAGATGGTCAGGGTCACCGTCGCCGCGTCGCAGCCTGTACAGTCGTGCGAGAATTCCACGGCGTGCTCGGACGCGCCGGCTTTATTGTCGTCGGCGACGGTGACCGTGACGGTCTTCGCCGCGTAGTCGGCGCTCGTGAAGGTCAGCGTCTCCGCGTCCGCCGTCGCCAGGGACGCGTTCGACGACGTGATCGTGACGACGACGTCGCTGCTCGGCTGGGCGGCGACGGAGACCTCGTAGGTGATGGACGCCGTGGCGTCCCACTCCTCGGCGTAGAGCTGCGTCGGCGACACGCTCAGCGTCGTGGCCGTCGCGAGCTGGAGCGCCGCGGCGGCGACGACGAGTCGCAGTGGCATGGGCAGCCCCATACTCGTTTCTCGGCGCCGGACGGCTTGCTCAAACACGATGCTGCCGGCCAG